CTGGCACAGTTCCAGATTTTCAAATGGTTATCTTCCACCAGGGCACTTCCCTCAATGAAAGTGAACTCTTGAGGGGCCTATCAAGAGGGAGCTTGGACGAAGAGTTAATTGCAACATCGGTGACGAGTCTTGGGCTTACACTGGTCTTCTTCCTTCTCTTCCGCCTCCTTCTCCCCTGAATTATCATCATCACCACCATCGTCGTCATCATCATCATCATCAACATCATCATCACCGCCCCCATCCGCCCCGAAACAACCGAGGTGTCACATGTGAATGTTTTGGCATATGCCCCACAGGAGCCCAGGACAGCCCAACACGGTCCAAGTAAGGTTCATGAGGACTCCTCGATAATAAAAGACGCAACTGGATCCTTCCATTCTCCTCCTCCTCCTCGTCGGAATTACGATCATCATGATGATCATAATCACCATCATCACTATCACCATCCCCCTCCTCATCCTCCTCATCATCACCAGCATAGATCTTTATTGCCTGATTCATCTACACCTTCATTATCATCAACATCATCATCGCCTGCATCATCACCATCATCATCATCATCGTCACCAACATCAACAGCATCATCATCATCATCATCATCAGCAGCATCATCGTCAGCAGCATCGTCATCACCATTACAAATACCAGCATCGCCATAATCATCAGCATCATCACCACCACCACCCTCCCTCTACTCATTCTCCTCATCATCACCATCACCATCGTTATCTTTAACATCACCGCCTGAACACGCTGATGGTGGACGGCAACGCTGCCGGATATTTCTGCCGCCGCTTCGTCGAGGCAGCGGTGGTGCCCACGGCCCTTGATACTTTAGATTCGCATGCCAAGCGCATCACCGACGCAATGGTATATGCTGCAGAAGCAATCAAGAAACGTGGGAGGGAACCCGGACGACCATGGATCCCCCAAGCTACACTGGATTTGCTGACCGAGAAGGTGCGATCCAATCAAAGGGAAACTTGTTGGAAGAGCACAAACTTACAAGACTTATCAAGGCATCAGTAAGGAGAGACAAAAGGAAATGGTTGGATTCACAGTTGGTTGGTGGGAAATGGGTAGCTGTACGGGCCGCCAGGAAAGGGCCCCCCAAGAAGCCAATACAAATTCGCAACAAACATGGGCAGCTGGTGGAGAGCACGCAACGCGCTGATACATTGGCGGACTAGGTCGAAAAGACCAAGTGGAAAGTTACGCACGCAGATCTTCTACCGACTGGGAGAACGAACGTTGGAGACACACTGGGCATATCCACGGGGACATTCGCAATGGAAGAGCTCCGACGTGCACTCCGGGCTCTCGCCGCTGGGAAAACAGGGGGCATAGACGACATACCCTCAGAATTTTGGAAAGCACTATCGTCTTCAGAAGACGCCTGCGGGGAATTGCTAATATTGTTTGGAAGGTGTTGGGACGAAAAGACCATACCAGCATAATGGCATACCTCAGTCGTGGTACCTCTACACAGAAAGGGGGCACAAGCCTGCCGGAGAACTACCGCCCTACATCTCTTCTGTAAACCAAAACCGCCCCAAGTGGCACCTAGAACATTTGCATCCGGCACCTCGAATTTGTCCGTTGGCTTCGACGCAGCGAAGCCTTGAGCCGATGAGGGCGCAGCTTTCTTGGACAGAACCCTGACGATATCTTGGGACCATAGGGGCCATCCATGAGGATCGCCAGGGCTCCTCTCTTGGGCCGTCTTGGGGCCCTCTTGGGGGCCTCTTGGGCCGTCTCGGAACGAGCTTTCGGGCCTCTTGGGCCGTTCCTGGCCCGAAGAAGCGCCTAATAATATGAATGCGACTACATCTACCACTACTACTATGCTACTACTATCACTATACGCACGCAATACGGCGATTACTCATACCATCACCGCGAATATGACATTATTGTGCTGACGTGGCCTGACACCGCCGCATAATCCAACAACCATCACCATCGTTTGCGTGACCTTCATATCCATTCATTGCCATCTTCATCAACGCTGACATCATCATGACTTGCATAGCCATCAGTATCACCTCGCGCCACATAGATATATCGCGCCACATTTATTGCACCGCGGAGCTTACATTACAGGCTCACGCCGCACTGATTGCACCACGTTGATTGTAGTAGATACCACATCCACTGCTTAATGACTCAGTGGCCGACGCTGGTACATGCACACTATATGTGCACGCGCGCACGCCCATCTCGTCATGCCGACACTCGCCATCACACGTCGCCCCAGGCCCAGTCATCAGGGAAGGCCCCGTCGACATCCCGATGCCATCATCGCGACCTGTCTTCGCCATCACCTCAGTCCATAGCTGCCCCATCAAAGCGCACGTGTTGCAGCAGCAGGTTTCCCGGGGAGGTAATCCAATGAGCCTGACCCCCCGGGGGTGGGGGGGGGGTCGGGCTCATTGGGCTCGGCCGGTGTCCAAGGGAGGCCCCTCGTGACTCTCGCATGCGCAACAAAAAAACAATGAGCCTGACCCCCCCCCCAATGAGCCTGACCCCCCCCCCGCGGGGTCAGGCTCATTGGATTACCTCTCCGGGAAACCTGCTGTCGCAACACATGCGTTTTGATGGGACAGCAGCTATTGACAGACGTGATGGTAAACCATGATGATGGCAGCGTCGATGATGATGGGAATGAACGGAAGACTTCGTCGTCGTCGCGTCCAGAGTCCCAAAAAAGGCCCGACGCCGCCCTCCCAGGAGATTCCGGCGGGCGTCTCTCAACGAAGGCGACTTGCTCATTGGACACGGCTGGTGTGCAATGAGCAACCCGGGATTCCCGGGGCCTCGGAAGCTCAATTCCGGCTTGGGCAGGGCCTCGGTGGCCTCCCGGGGTCCAATTTCGCTTTGGGCCGCCGCCTGAGAGGGGGTTCCCGGGGTCCAATTCCGGCTTGGGCCGCTCCTGAAGCGCCTCCCCGGGGCCCAATTCCGGCTTGGGCCGCCAGTTCCCGTGAAACGCATGCCTGCTGGCCGCCATCTTCCGAGATTGGTCACACGTGGGACCATTATGGTCTCAGGTGTGACCAGATCCTGGCCTCCGGCGTCTTGACGTTCCCCGCCGTTGCGGCGAGTCTCTGAGCCCTGCCCAATGACTCCCGGGCTGGGCCCCCCGCATGCATGGCCCAAGAGGGCGGGATGACCCCAGCGCGGCATCGCGGCCCAAGATGGCCCCAAAACGGCCCAAGAGAGGGGCCCTGGCGATCCTCATGGCTCCAAGATGACCCCTATGGTCCCAAGAAATCGTCAGGGCTTTGTCCAAGAAAGCTGCGCCCTCATCGGCTCAAGGCTTCGCTGCGTCGAAGCCAACGGACAAATTCGAGGTGCCAGATGCAAATGTTCTAGGTGCCACTTAGGGCGGTTTTGGTTTTTGTCGATTGGGTACAAACTTTTGGCGTGGATGCTAGAAAAACGAATTCAAAATGGCGGGGCCGAGAACCGAATTCGTTCAACTCAGTATGGTTTCCGCCCTAGCAGAAACACTGCCCAGGCGATTGGCATTGCCCGGAGGATGCTCGAGGCCGCATAGACATGTCAATCTCCAGGATTGGTTGCAGCATTGTTGGACTGGTCTAAAACCTTCGACTGGATCAAGCACGACACGTTCTTGGACGCGCTTCGAAGGTTCGGCATCCCCACGGACATGTTGAACATGATAGCGGCGATTTGCAGATACAGAAGCTTTGTGTTGCGGGACCCCGCCGTGAATTCCAGCAAACATCTTCAAGCTGCAGGGATAGCACAAGGGTGCCCGTTATCGCCATATGTATTCATCATTGTTCAAAGCGTCATGCTTTACGACGTCGACAACATAATGGCTGGCCTACACGATGCTGTCCGGGAGCCCAACTATTTGGCGTGCAGTGACTTGTTATACGCCGATGGCACAATGTTACTCAGCAGCGATTCTGGGAAACTTTAAACACTACTCAACACAGTCATTGACGAAGGCGCGAGATATGGCTTGGATCTGAATTGGGATAAAACTGTATCCATGCGTGTACATAACACTGGTACGTTGCTTTCTCCCGCCGGCGCGCCGCTGAAAATAGTGGAGCAAGCGGTGTATCTAGGAGGATTATTGAATGTAAAATGCTCAACAAAACCTGAGATCACTCGGAGAATTGGTGAAGCCACGTCTCTATTTAAAGCTCTGCCTCACTGTTGGTCGCACGCTGATATATGCCGCGACCGGAAAATCCAACTGTATAAAGCAATTGTCTTGCCCAAGCTGCTGTATAATTTAGATACTGCTTGGTCATTGCAAGCTGACAGAGCCCGTTTAGACAGCTTCCACGTGCAATGTCTGCGAAGTATGTTCAGAATTCCGTCTGCGCACGTGTCCAGAATTTCTAACGATGAAGTCCTAGAACGTGCGCAGGAGCCGCCGCTGAGCGAGACGCTCCGTGATCGGCAAATGAATTTGTATAGGAAGATTTCGGCACTCCCGGAAAATAATCTCCTCAAGTTCCTCAATTGTGAGCCTGGCACAAGGCTGCCTAGGCGATGGGCGCACAAAAGGAAGAGAGGGAGACCCAAACAGCAATGGGCTTCCAGCGTCTATTCGCTTTTGCCAGCAGGCGTGCTCTGATTGTTTTCGGCGCTCTCCCTCTCTCCTTCCTCCCCATCGCCCGTCCTCCTCCTCCTCCTCCTCCTCCTCCCCGCTTGTCCTCACAGGTGGAACCGATGCGCTTTCATTGAATTTCGCATCGCATCAGCTGTCCGGCGACAGTGCGCTGTGCTAACTTTTTATTTGCCAATGCGCTGTTCGAGCGCAGGGCTTGACTGACTGACTATCATCACAACCACCATCATCGCCATCACCACCATCATCATCATCGTCGTCATCAATATCCTCATCACCATCATCAGCATCATCAACAGCATCTTCATCCTATTCACAGTTCTCCCATTCTCGAACAATCGCCACGCGAAACACTGTACTGGCACGGTGGCGGGACTTGCCGCAGGCAGCTGGATACGACGTCAGCTGGCGCCAGTCGGGCCAGACGTGGTAGGGAATATAAAGAATGTCGACCCAACCGAAGCAGAGCCTGTTCTGCCCCCAGTTCCGCAGAGCGGGTAGGGCCTGCACTTCTGGTCTCCTCAAGATCTGGAGGCCCTGATCTAAGAAGGGCGCCCTGTTCGTCGCCGTCGGGCGATGGTCAGGCAGCGGCGTCGTGAACCAGTTGCCCGTCTCCAGGAAGTGGCCGTACAGCTCTTCGCCCTCGAGGCATCGGTTCGGGACTTCCTGCTCCATCCACTTCGGGTTTCCATTTGGATCCTTGATGGTGTCGTTGTTCTTGTCCACGGCATGCCACCTCAAGAGCAGCCCGCTGTCCGTGATCCAGACCTTCCGCCCGTCGAGACGTTCGATCGGGAACAGCCCTGGGTTGATCCACATATCGGCGTGGATCCACAGCGCCCCCGCCGGGGCTGGCCCCTTCAGGCTGTCGAGGGACCCGAATATTCCCGCCAAGCAGGTCGCGGTGTTGCAGGCTGACACGCAGTTGCCCCGCACGGGGTCGCATGGGCCCCTCCCGGGTGCCCTCGACTCCCACACGTCCCAGAACAGCTCGTAGTACCTGGCGTAGAGGTACCTGCGCTCCTCTCGAACGTTATGGAGAACGAGGAGGTACGAAGCGAACGGTCCCCGCGGGGAGGCAGGTCGCGTCGTGGAGGGCGGGGAAGCCTCGCCGCGGGCGGCCTCGCCGCGGGCGGCCTCGCCGTGGAACGGCCTCGCAGTGGACGGCCTCGCCGTGGACGGCCTCGCCGTGGACGGCGACGGGGTGCGGGGCGGGGCGGCGGGGGAGGTTCAAGTCGGGCCTGCCCCTCTGCAGGGGGGAACATTCACAGATAGTAAACTATCCTGGCGAAGGACCCAACCATATGCAACTGTGAATACCGCAAGTGTGAATATCGTTTTCGGCGGCGCTACCTCTGGGTAGTGGAGACGCATGCGAACACCCCCACTGGGGCCTTCGGTGGAGCTCCCTATGGGGCTACGAAACGCTGCCCTGGGTGGGGGAACCGCATGCAGGCAGCCCCACTGGGGCCTTCGGTGGAGCTCCCTGTGGGGCCACGAAACGCTGCCCTTGGTGGGGGAACCGCATGCGGGCACCCCCACTGGGGCCTACGGTGGAGCTCCCTCTGGGGCTACGAAACGCTGCCCTGGGTGGGGGAACCGCATGAGGGCAGCCCCACTGGGGCCTACGGTGGAGCTCCCTATGGGGCTACGAAACGCTGCCCTGGGTGGGGGAACCGCATGTGGACACCCCCACTGGGGCCTTCGGTGGAGCTCCCTCTGGGGCTACGAAACGCTGCCCTGGGTGGGGGAACCGCATGTGGACACCCCCACTGGGGCCTTCGGTGGAGCTCCCTATGGGGCCACGAAACGCTGCCCTGGGTGGGGGAACCGCATGTGGACACCCCCACTGGGGCCTTCGGTGGAGCTCCCTATGGGGCTACGAAACGCTGCCCTGGGTGGGGGAACCGCATGTGGACACCCCCACTGGGGCCTTCGGTGGAGCTCCCTATGGGGCTACGAAACGCTGCCCTGGGTGGGGGAACCGCATGTGGACACCCCCACTGGGGCCTTCGGTGGAGCTCCCTATGGGGCTACGAAACGCTGCCCTGGGTGGGGGAACCGCATGTGGACACCCCCACTGGGGCCTTCGGTGGAGCTCCCTATGGCGCTGCCACGAAACGCTGCACCTGGGTGGGGGAACCGCATGTGGACACCCCCACTGGGGCCTTCGGTGGAGCTCCCTATGGGGCTACGAAACGCTGCCCTGGGTGGGGGAACCGCATGTGGACACCCCCACTGGGGCCTTCGGTGGAGCTCCCTCTGGGGCTACGAAACGCTGCCCTGGGTGGGGGAACCGCATGTGGACACCCCCACTGGGGCCTTCGGTGGAGCTCCCTATGGGGCCACGAAACGCTGCCCTGGGTGGGGGAACCGCATGCGGACACCCCCACTGGGGCCTTCGGTGGAGCTCCCTATGGGGCTACGAAACGCTGCCCTGGGTGGGGGAACCGCATGTGGACACCCCCACTGGGGCCTTCCTTCGGTGGAGCTCCCTATGGGGCTACGAAACGCTGCCCTGGGTGGGGGAACCGCATGCGGACACCCCCACTGGGGCCTTCGGTGGAGCTCCCTATGGGGCTACGAAACGCTGCCCTGGGTGGGGGAACCGCATGTGGACACCCCCACTGGGGCCTTCGGTGGAGCTCCCTCTGGGGCTACGAAACGCTGCCCTGGGTGGGGGAACCGCATGTGGACACCCCCACTGGGGCCTTCGGTGGAGCTCCCTCTGGGGCTACGAAACGCTGCCCTGGGTGGGGGAACGCATGTGGACACCCCCACTGGGGCCTTCGGTGGAGCTCCCTCTGGGGCACGAAACGCTGCCCTGGGTGGGGGAACTCATGTGGACACCCCCACTGGGGCCTTCGGTGGAGCTCCCTATGGGGCCACGAAGCGCTGCCCTGGGTGGGGGAACCGCATGTGGACACCCCCACTGGGGCCTTCGGTGGAGCTCCCTATGGGGCCACGAAACGCTGCCCTGGGTGGGGGAACCGCATGTGGACACCCCCACTGGGGCCTTCGGTGGAGCTCCCTATGGGGCTACGAAACGCTGCCCTGGGTGGGGGAACCGCATGTGGACACCCCCACTGGGGCCTTCGGTGGAGCTCCCTCTGGGGCTACGAATCGCTGCCCTGGGTGGGGGAACCGCATGTGGACACCCCCACTGGGGCCTTCGGTGGAGCTCCCTATGGGGCTACGAAACGTGTGAGAGGTGTGCCGAGAGCAGAGGCAAGGAGGGGGAGGAGGGAGGAGGGGGAGGAGGAAGGAGAGGAACGCGGGGCACCGTCTCTTCAAAACGAGGACCCAACACCACAGGATGGTTGGGAAAAAACAGTCCGGGGACAGACTACTGCTTGCACCAACTCCGGCCATGCTGGAATCTGTTGCACACACTGTGCTTTGTTGCTCGTCGAGGCTCCTCCTGCAGGGGGACACGCCCGACTCCAGGGGAGGGCCAGGACCTGGCGCGGGGAAGGCCCGCGCCGAACAGAGCGGGGAGCCCGCCGCTGCCGTACCCCGCGCCTCGGAGGCCCAAGGCCGCCAGCGCCAGCGCGGCCAGAAGCGGGGGCGCCGTGCGGCAGCCCACGCGCAGGGACACGGGCCAGCCGCCCGGCCCGCCCGGCTCGCACCGCCCGGCTCGCATCAGCGCCGGGAGGAGGAGGAGGAGGAGGAGGAGGAGGAGGAGGAGGAGGAGGAGGAGGAGGAGGAGGGAGGCCTGCCGCCGTCGCCCTCCCGCTCCCGCGGCGGCCTGGCGCGGGGGCGGTGCCGCCCGAGCGGCCCGCGCGAGCAGGGCCTGGGGCGGGGCTGCCTGGGGCAGAGGCTTGGGCCACAGACTGGAGCCTGGGCTCGAGCCAGCCCTCCTCGTGCTGCGGAGCGCTTTCGGGCCCCTACCCCCCCGTTGGTAAGACGTGGTTTAGTGAACACGGCCTGAGGCCCAAACCTGGCGGGCGCAAGCCTGGAAAATAACGGCCACGGCGCCCTCTCGAGAACCGAAAACGGACAATTCACTAATCGACGAGTCACTGTTGAGGGTTCTGTCCGCCCTCGATCTTGGGGGGGGTTCTTCGGGCACGCTTGGCCATCCGGGGGGCACCCTCGGGGTCCTCGTGGGCCGCCTCGGGCGTCTCAGGCCTCTCTAGGGGGCTCTCCCAGGGCCTCGTTGGGCCTGTTTGGCCGCTTTGGCGGCCTCTTTGGGCCCTCCCTGGACCGCCCTCAAGACGAGCGCAGCGTAGCGCAGCGTTCAGCTACCCCTGGAACCAAGGCCCGACGCAACTATGAACACCGATCCCTTATCTACGTACGTGTGCGTCGCTGCAGTGTGAAGCTGTGAGGCCAAGGAGGAGGAGGCACGCCAAGTCGATGAATCCGAGCACGCCGAGACAGCCAAGGAGGAGGAGGAGGAGGAGGAGGAGGAGGAGGATGAGGAGGAGGA